AACAGAATTCACACTGAAAAGAACAAACACTGAAAAGGGTGACAACAAAAACAAGCGTGGAGAGACATTCTTGGAATTACATTGAGAGCCGTAAAGAGGAGGACGCGCATTAGAGGGCACACTCGGATGAATGACCATCATCAATGCTTGATTCACTTTTTTTTACATATATATAAATATGGGATTGGGCAGGACACGTGACGGGTAGAAGGGACGATGGTCCAAGACCAATAAGGGAGCGGCAGCCCAGGAGCGGAACGCGTCTCGAGAGGCCTAGCACGGAGGAGATGGAGCGATGAAAGCACTCGCGAGTGCGCACGGGCGGATTGCGACGAGGGTCGAGTCGCGTGACGCCTTTTCCAGACGCTGCTGCTGCTGCAGCAGTCACGAAGGCGAAGGTGGCGGAGTCTCAGAACGCAGGACGAGCGCACATCACGTGGCATACAGTACACGTTTGTTTGTGCTTGTTTCTAATTAGCCCTGTATGGTCACGATTTGCGATGGTCACAATGTCAACAGATCTTTACGATTCCAGCCTATCGGGTGCATTCTTTTGAAATTGTGAAGTTTGTGAAAACCCCCATGCACTGTGATCCCCCCCCCACCTCGTATTGGAGACGTAATATCTGGTGCATAAAATCAAATTAGATTAATTTGTTTTAATTCCATCGGTCACAAGAACTCGTGTATGGAAAGCGTTGTGGCTGCAGTCCTCCTTCCTGCTCATAGCAAAAGAAAAACAAATATAAGCAGACAATATCTCCTTCACATGCCTGTCCCTCTCCACACAAGCCCCTACGCACATCGCCAGCCGCATGGACTTCTGGGAGGGCATCATTTTAACAGCATTGTTTCATGACAAGAAAAACTTGTGACCGGTTTTGGCACACACTGTCTCATCAGCAGGCTTGCATGAATCAACATTTGAGAAACTGCCAATCTTGCAGACGAAGTGTCGCAAAATTACGTATACGGTCTTGACTTAAAGCTTTCGTGACTGCAGGAATTCATATTCTTTGGGTCTTTCGGTAAAGTCACGTAGATAGGTTCAAAGAAAATAACAAAAATAACAAAAAACTACGACGTCTCGATCGCAACACAAGCGTTCGTCATCAGGAAAAGGGTGATGACGACCGCTTGTGTCGCGATCGAAACGTCGTAGTTTTTTTGTTATTTTCTTTGAACCTGCGTGACTTTACCAAAATACCCTAAAGAATGCGTATATGGTGTATAGCGAAACACAAGTCCTAATAATCATGAGCGTCCTTGTGGAGAATATAAATGACAAAGTAAATCGGCAGACGATACGTTTCCTTCATGTATTCATCTCTCCACGTAGCAAAATAAACCGGTTCAGAGTTTTCCTTGTCTTGAAGCAACGCTGCTGAAACTGTACTCTCTCAGAAAGCCGTGAGGCTCATGAGATGCGTAATGTTTGTTTTATTTAAATGTTCATGTGGAGAGGCAAATATGAATTAATTGTCCGCTCATTTCTGTGTTGTTTAATAAAAGCGATTTTTTTTTTAAAAGGCCATCTAACACCAGAGCTTGACTTCCGCCGGGTCTATCGAGGCCGGTGATTCGGAAATATATGTTTTCCACCCGGCACACCACATCCATCCTACATTGCGCCACGTCTGTGGCTATCATAGCCACGTGTCTGATTAGCACGGTTGGCTACGTACTGCGCGAAATAAGTTCCCAAAAAAATGTGTCAATCCACTGCTCCGGATGAAATGAGCTGTTGTGAAGGCGCTGAATTTGTGTCCAAAACAATTGCACGACGATCTGCACGAACTGGGTCAGTGCGTTGATGCTCTGTCACTGAGACGAGGGTCATCTCGAGCGCTGGCCGGCAGAGGCGGGGGCGTCTTCGTTTCTTCACGTGATCAATGTTACGTGAAAACAAATATTCTACATGTAATGGTACTTCATATGATGCATGATACTGACGACGATGTCATGGGTTGCCGGTGTTTGCACGTGTTTATCTTGTGCATATTGCCGTGTAGAATAATAATGTACACTTATAAGGCGTCTTTCACGACGTCTCAAGGTGCCACATGCCGTGGCGTTATTCATGCTGTAGTTGTCTATATGGCAATACTTTTGCCATCATTGTTGCTGTTTTTTTTCTCCCAATATTTATTCCCCATTTTTCTCGACCGATATTTGAACACTGCATAAAACGTTGCTTGAATAATAATTTCAAATTATAAAGCGCCTTTAAACAATCGTTCTTAGGGCGCTAATGAATGAATGGTTTATCCACACCTTATACTTACAGTGAATGCGTGTATGCAAATGTAGTAACTTATATACATGTGCTTTCTGTCAGCTTCACAATATTTGCATTGGTAATCATTTGCACGTGCTACGTTGCACTGACCAATCATCCTCGATCTTATGCATTCACCATGATCATTATCGAGTCGGTAGCAGCCGTGAGCAGTTCGCTTGCTGGATGGATAAAGGCTTCCGAAAGTTGTCACCGTCTCTCGCAATCCTACGCTGTAGCAGCCCACCTCCCACCCGCTCATTTCATCGCTCCATCTCCTAGCCGCGATCCCTCCTTGGACTTCCATTCCGACCTTAGTCTTGACCACCGCTCCTCGAGCCTCCTCAGTAGTCACGTGCGCTGCCCAAGTCAATTTACTCCGCACAGCCGTTACATGTAAAGAGGTTTAACCCCGCACGCGTGCGGTGTTTGTTGTGATGCGCGTGTCCCCTTACCCCCCAACCCTCTCTCTCTCTCTCGGTCTCTCGCCGTCAATCCAATGCCTGGCGTGAACGCAGAAGAAAAAAAACCGGCGTGCAATTCAACGTTGCGATGCCGAAATCCACCGCGCGCGTGCACATCGCCTTGTTTGGCAATCCATCTCGCACCTGCGCGCGGACACGCGCCGAGGTCATCGCTCCGTCTCTCGGGAACCTCTCCCCGCCCCTCCCCCCCCCTCCACCTCGTCAAACATTCGTCTCAATCACCTGAGCGTCATTGCCTACAAAGCGACGCCTTCTGCCCCGAGCTCACCGTGACTTTTGCCCCCCCCCCCAAAAAAAAAAAACGAAAGTGCCACACACCCGAGGCTCGGGGCGATGCCGGTGCGAGCGCGGGATCGGCAGACGCACGCCGAGTCGAGCCGCTCGCCCGGGAACAAAGTGGGCAGCGGAGAGAGACAATCCGAGCAACCCACACTGGCCACACGCGACGTGGGGAAGTGTGGGCGACATGCCTACACAACGTGACAAATAAGTGCAGCGCCGCTTCTTTCGCGTTTCACTCGTGCACCAGCGGGGGTTCGCGGCAATTCGCGGGCAACCCGCGCGCGCGCGCGCACCAAGCAATGAAAATGAGGTTCGCATCGAAGCCCATCGCTGTCCCCGCATACACCACACAACAACAACAACAAACATATACCTACACACCCCATCCCCCCCCCAGACTGCTGGGGCGAGCGCTGTCAGCGAGGACCTCTATAGCGGCACACACGGGCGCACGGAATGCAGTGGTGTGGTGAGGTGTGGTGAGGTGGGGTTTGGTGGGGTGTGGTGAGGTGTGGTGAGGTGGGGTTTGGTGGGGTGTGGTGAGGTGTGGTGAGGGATGGTGTGGTGAGGTGTGGTGAGGTGTGGTGAGGTGAGTTGTGGTGAGGTGAGGTGGGGTGTGGTGAGGTGTGGTGTGGTGAGGTGTGGTGAGGTGGGGTGTGGTGAGGTGTGGTGAGGTGTGGTGAGGTGAGGTGAGGTGTGGTGTGGTGAGGTGTGGTGTGGTGAGGTGTGGTGAGGAGTGGTGAGGTGTGGTGAGGTGTGGTGAGGTGTGGTGAGGTATGGTGTGGTGTGGTGTGGTGAGGTGTGGTGAGGTGTGGTGAGGTGGGGTGTGGTGAGGTGTGGTGAGGAGTGGTGAGGTGTGGTGAGGTGAGGTGTGGTGTGGTGAGGTGTGGTGAGGTGTGGTGTGGTGAGGTGTGGTGTGGTGAGGTGTGGTGAGGTGGGGTGTGGTGAGGTGTGGTGAGGTGTGGTGAGGTGTGGTGTGGTGAGGTGTGGTGTGGTGAGGTGTGGTGAGGTGGGGTGTGGTGAGGTGTGGTGAGGTGTGGTGAGGTGTGGTGTGGTGAGGTGTGGTGTGGTGAGGTATGGTGTGGTGAGGTATGGTGTGGTGTGGTGAGGTGTGGTGAGGTGTGGTGAGGTGGGGTGTGGTGAGGTGTGGTGAGGAGTGGTGAGGTGTGGTGAGGTGAGGTGTGGTGTGGTGAGGTGTGGTGAGGTGTGGTGTGGTGAGGTGTGGTGAGGTGGGGTGTGGTGAGGTGTGGTGAGGTGTGGTGAGGTGAGGTGAGGTGAGGTGTGGTGTGGTGAGGTGTGGTGTGGTGAGGTGTGGTGAGGTGTGGTGTGGTGAGGTGTGGTGAGGTGGGGTGTGGTGAGGTGTGGTGTGGTGAGGTGTGGTGTGGTGAGGTGTGGTGTGGTGAGGTGTGGTGAGGTGGGGTGTGGTGAGGTGTGGTGTGGTGAGGTGTGGTGTGGTGAGGTATGGTGTGGTGAGGCACGACGCTCCTGCTGTCCTCTGTCTCCCTCCACTGTGCTGATGTTGACAACGCCTCTGGTACTCACGCAAGGCGGAATCAACCTTGACGGTTGAACACACACAACACACACACAACACACACACAACACACACACAACACACACAACACACACACAACACACACACAACACACACACACCACACACAACACACACACAGCACACACAACACACACACCACACACACAACACACACACAGCACACACACAACACACACAACACACACACAACACACACACCACACACACACATCACACACACAACACACACACACAACACACACAACACACACACCACACACACAACATACACACACACACATCACACACACAACACACACACAAACAGCACACACCACACACACACATCACACACAACACACACAACACACACACAACACACACACCTGGAATATAAGATGCATGCTCCAGTCACTCACCTTCGCCATGCTCAATGCTGTCCTTCGTCTTGAGCGAGGATGATGACGAAGACGACGACAGAGATGAAGATGATGCCGACGACGATGATGATGACGACGGTGATGATGATGACGATGAATGTTGTAATCCATCTTCGCCCGCTCTTCGTTTCTTCGACATTTGCCGGCTATTTGACATCGAGTGTGTGTGTGGGGGGTGGGGTGGGGGGTAGCAGGGTAGGTGGGTCGGTAGAGGAGTGTTGCCCCTTTCTCTACCGCGGGAGCTTACATGGTTTTTCTGACCATCTCAGGCGCGACCGCGCTCGGAGGTACCGAGCTTCGTGTCGCCACGGGGCGCGCTGTTGCGGCTCGCAATGCCGTCGCGTTCATGCCGAGCCGGGGAACAAACCGGGCGAGACGCAAACACACATCTACAAAAACAAAAGTCTCAAAGCGCCAAGGGTCATTCGTTCCCCACTATCTCTCTGCCACACACACTCACACACACACACTCTCTGTATGCGTCCACCACCCTCTCGTATCCTCTCTACCCCAGACGCACGCTGACTGCACTAAGCCTCGGCAATATCTCCCTCTCCCCATGAGCGCGCGCACACAATCAGCCCGTACGCTCGCTCGCTCTCTCTGTTTTCTCTTTCCCTCCAGCCTCTCTCCTCTACCCCTCCCCCTGACTCTCTCGCCCACCTCTCCCTTCCTCTCTCTCTCTCCTTCGGTTAACACACCTCCCTCCCAGCTTCCCTCATTCTCCTCCTGCTCTCTCTCTCTCGCTTGCTCACCCACTCACTCTGCACGTGTCGTCGTCAGCAGCGTGGCTCACGGTGAACATTCTGCTGCTACGCGGCACTTTCTCTTCGTCAATCCGCGTCACCAACGAGTGACCCTGCCGCGGGTTTTAAGGGGTTCAGAGATGTCCGACCTGGTAGAGCGGGCGCGCAAGCGTTGCCCTGAAGCCAAGGAACACACGCACAGCCCACAGACGCCTTTGTCTCTCCAGTGCTGTTATTGACCACGCCACATGACGATTAACGCAATGCGCTTTTATGGGCTGCAACGCCGAGCCCACGGATTTTAAAGGAGCCCCGAACAACAATATACGGCGATGGTAAAGGCGCAGGGCTGCAATTGCTCGGCTCACGCCACTGCCGGTGGAAGGGTCCTCAACTAAAGGGAGCTGTTAGAGAGCGCCGCTAGATTGTACGTTGGCCTACCCTTCCACGCTGCTCAGACGTCTTGGAAGACGTAATGCAATCGTCCCCACTGCTACATAATCGTTTAACGCAATACTGAAGGTGATTGGCAATCGAAGTTAGAGCGAAACTACGTGATTCACTGCCAGTTGTGTACCGAAAATACGACCCTTTCGTGTTATAACTGATAAGTTACCTTTGCAATCTGCATGCCACGTTTGGTTCATGGGGGTTGTGTTTGACAATAATTATCCACGCTGGTCATCGCGGTTTGGTGGGGGTGGCAATCATGACCGGTTCGGGTATCGCTCGCCGCTGGCGTTAGCCAGTGGTCGTAAATCTATATCGAGTCACCTGCTTCTGAGCGCGCTGTGCTAACCGCTGCGCCACCGCTCCCCCGGGCACCACACTCGGCACCGCTCAGGACCCAGCTCGTGGCCGTGCTGCTTCTCCAGCAGCGGTCTCCTCGCATCTCAGTCGCGTTCCGTTCGCTGTCCGCTATTAATTCCGTGCTCAGCGGACCTCGGGCGTAAGGGCACAAGAAAGCAAGGTCAATGTGCAAGGGGGCCCATAGCAACTGGTGTCGTGCACCATCGCCCGTGACCGTGCGGAACCAACCTGCGGGTCGTCGTTTATTGCACAAGAGAGTGAGAGAGAGAGAGGCCGTTAATCAACAGACGACTCACACGCGCTGGGCTGTAACATCAGCAGCGCTGGCACGTGGAGTTCGCCTTCCATTCCCGCATGCATTGTGGACGACCCCCACACCACCCCCAACGCTCCCCCTCGCATATAACCGCAGACGATGCTTGCACTTTGATCCACTCGCTGTCCTTACTTGCTCCGAGGTTAATATAAACTCCACCGTGACCAGGGCTGATGTGAACTCCCTCGCCTGGCTCGTCGAATCGTCTCCGGCTCCATCCGGTTTTATTTCCCCTCCCCCTCTACGCTTAGTAGAATCGACGCGCGTTTAGGCTATTTCGCTGCCGCTATAAATTTTCATGCGATAAGCGGTCACGTTGAGCGATCAATTGTGGCCAGGCAGGTCGCTTCTGAACAAGAGCTTTTTAGCTCAGTGGGCCTTACCTGGTAACATAAAAAAATATATTAAATTGCTTCGCTTTAGTGTGTATGCTGTGAGCACCACACAACAGCAACAAGATTAAAACAAAAGTTTCGATTTAAAGCTTTCGTGACTGCAGGGATTCATCTTCTTGTGAGAATTTAATTTCATTATGTTTTTATTTTTATTATTTTATTTCCATTCTACGTGACTTTACCGAAAGAACCAAGAAGATTAAAACAAAGTTGTCCCGTGTAGCCTACGCACAAGGCTGCCTTCAGCAATGTTTCACGAGTGCACCATCGACCAATGCCGATGTTTACGCACCGCACCAGGTTACCCCCTTGTAAGGCTGAGACGACCGAGCGGAAAGCGCCCAGGACCGGTTCAGCCATCGCTCGCCACTGACGTTAGCCGTAGCCGGCAATTAAATGCGGGTCACCGGGGTTCGTAGCGCAGTGCGCTAACCGCTGTTCACTCTCTCGGCCTGATGAAGGCCGCTTATGTTGCGATCGAAACGTCGTGGTTTTTTGCTTTTATTTTTAATTGTAATTTTTTTTTCAATCTTCGTGACTTTACCGAAAAAAAACCCAAGAATATCAACAACACACGCAGCGTTTTTCAAAGAGCGCGGCTCGCATCTTATCAGCGTCCAAAGTCTCAGCACATGCACGACGCAGCCCCTTTGCCAAGCCCGGGTAGCGGTGGCTGTTCACGTGGCCTGTAATATGGTCCCAGCACTGTGGAAGCGAGGGTCGGTGGATCACACAGAGTGGCGTGAAACTACCTTCCACGTGGGCGACGAGGCGCCTGTCTGCGCGATTGACGTCGCGTTCTGACGTAATGCCCCCCCCACCCGCCTCTGCTTTCGAGCAGTGTTTGTTTGGGCAGGCAAATCTAGCAGAGGCTTCTCGTGGTGTCAGCCAATCATTTTCAAGGACAATGCACTCGTTATCAAAGCGCACGTGTTTGCATATTTCACAAGCGCGTGTGATTATTCCAGACTTGCAATAGGTGTCCATTTTGGTGTACGAACATCTTAACGCCTACTGCTATTTTTACCATCTTGATACTGGCAATACATAAGTAATATTTAAAAAAAATTAAACACGCTTTAATAAAATGTACCGTACACGTAATGGCAAAACTCCACGACTCCAGGAAGTGGCCCCGAAGCTTGCCACAACGTAAGGGCCGTGATCATTTACAGCCAACGTCAGTTGAGCGTGGACAATTAGACCCAAGCCGAAACATAACATGTAAAAAAGATGGTTTAAAAATATATATTTTTAATGATATAATATAGTATTGTCATCAGTATGACATAAGTATACCAAGTTTGCAGTCGATACCACATTGGGAAGTAGGTTAAAATTGAGTTACAAGATTTGAGGATACAACAACAGACAGTGAGTTAAATAAAAGCGAGACAGGTTCGACTGTTTTTTTTGTCTCATCAGCAGAATTCTGCCTGTTAAATGTGTAATGACTCCGACGACAAGAATACAAGAGCCACTTTGATTAGTTACACCATAAGGAACCCTACTATGGATTACACGGTAAAGGACCCGAGGCTTCGTGACTCTCTTCCGGCTTGTATCTTTCTCCGAAGCTCCCCAATCCTCGTGCTCTCTCTCCTTATATATCCCGCCCCCCCCCTTTCTGGAATGTTCCCTCACCCTCTGTTCCCTCAGCCAATCACTGTCCTTTCCCTCCTAACTGATCCAAACCGTCGCCTATTGGGTTCCACCCCTTTGTTTCCCGCCTTGCTCTCCTTCAAAACTTTCCCTCCAATCACAGCAAAAGCCCCCGCCTTCCTGGCCAATCCCTGTGGAGGCCTCTTTCCTCCAATCGGAGACCTTGGATGTATTTTCTGAGTCGCCGTTAGGCTGTAACATTCGCTTGGGGTCTTTTTCGGTCATTACAAATGTAAACAATGCTGCTGGCTTGTTGACTGATGCCATAGCTAATAGCCCCCTTCTGGGACACCGTTGTCCCGTTTAGCGCCGTACAACGTAACACATTCTTATCAGCACATTCGTCAATAGCACCGCCCTAAAATGATGCTGATATATCATAGCTGACGTTTCAGGCACTGGCCCTATATAGCAGAGATAAAGGGGAGACGTAAAGAAAGTCCTGAGACGTCGTTAATATTTGTTTTATTTTTAGAGCAGTGCTATTAAAAAAACGTGTTGCATTTAATCGGTTTGTTATTCATGACTTAGGCTTTCACAATCAACATCATCCATAATACAGTTTTTTGGGGGTTAGATCGCGTAAATATATTAATGTGTCGTTAAACCTGCCACCACCCGACCCTTACTAATTGGCCGTGTCGGGTGGTGGCGGGTTTAACGACACATTTACAGTGAGGGAAAAAAAGTATTTGATCCCCTGCTGATTTTGTACGTTTGCCCACTGACAAAGAAATGATCAGTCTATAATTTTAATGGTAGGTTTATTTGAACAGTGAGAGACAGAATAACAACAAAAGGATCCAGAAAAACGCATGTCAAAAATATTATAAATTGATTTGCATTTTAACGAGGGAAATAAGTATTTGACACCCTCTCAATCAGAGAGATTTCTGGCTCCCAGGTGTCTTTTATGCAGGTAACGAGCTGAGATTAGGAGCACACTCTTAAAGGGAGTGCTTCTAATCTCAGCTTGTTACCTATATAAAAGACACCTGTCCACAGAAGCAATCAATCAATCAAATTCCAAACTCTCCACCATGGTCAAGACCAAAGAGCTCTCCAAGGATGTCAGGGACAAGATTGTAGACCTACACAAGGCTGGAATGGGCTACAAGACCATTGCCAAGCAGCTTGGTGAGAAGGTGACAACAGGTGGTGCGATTATTTGCAAATGGAAGAAACATAAAATAACTGTCAATCTCCCTTGGCATGGAGCTCCATGCAAGATCTCACCTCGTGGAGTTGCAATGATCATGAGAACGGTGAGGAATCAGCCCAGAACTACACGGGAAGATCTTGTCAATGATCTCAAGGCAGCTAGGACCATAGTCACCAAGAAAACAATTGGTAACACACTACACCGTGAAGGATTGAAATCCTGCAGCGCCCGCAAGGTCCCCCTGCTCAAGAAAGCACATATACATGCCCGTCTGAAGTTTGCCAATGAACATCTGAATGATTCAGAGGACAACTGGGTGAAAGTGTTGTGGTCAGATGAGACCAAAATGGAGCTCTTTGGCATCAACTCAACTCACCGTGTTTGGAGGAGGAGGAATGCTGCCAATGACCCCAAGAACACCATCCCCACCGTCAAACATGGAGGTGGAAACATTATGCTTTGGGGGTGTTTTTCTGCTAAGGGGACAGGGCAACGTCACCGCATCAAAGGGACGATGGACGGGGCCATGTACCGTCAAAACT